CTGCAGGACTGAGCTGAATCACATTGCGACGTCGGCTCGGACCCGAAGAACAGATCGCACCGACAGCGGATCGTCCCGAATCGAAATCGGATCGCCAAGCCCGGCTCCCGTTGACCCCGACCGGTGCCAGCGAACCGAGCAGAATCGAATCGGAATCGGAATCGCGGCCCTGGCCAGCAAATCGAAGCGCATCGAATCGCATCGCAGGCGCTGGGCGGCCAGAGAGGCCCCGACGGCGCAGCGCCTGCCGACGAGGGGCGCTCTTGCCTCCTCCTCCTCTTCCGCCTCCTCCTCCTCCTCCACCTTCTCCTGCTCCTCCATTCCTTCTCCTTATGAATAACTTCTCCCTGTCGCACCCCGAGGCACGTTGTTAGGGCGGGCCAGGCGTTTCGCCTGAGACCTCCTCACCACTCATGACCCTGAAGCTACAACAGTGGCAACAGCTTCACAGATGGAGGGCGGGTGGTTTTCAAAATATTGCTCTCGCCTTCGCGCCGCGCACATTCGTTTCAAACATTTGAAAAAGTTCCACGGATTGAGGGCGGGTCGTTTTCAAAATGTGGCTCTCGCCTTAGCGCAGCGCACGTACATTCTAAAACGCTGCAATATCTTCACGGATTGAGGCGGTTCCTTTTCAAAATGTGGATCTCGCCCAAGCACCGCGCACATTCGTTTTAAACATTTGCAAGAGTTTCACGGATTGAGGGCGTGTCGTTTTCAAAATGTGGGTCTCGCCTGAGCGCCGCGCACATTCTGTGCACAGTATTGCAAGAGTTTCAGAGATTCCCATGATCGGCGAACCAGAAACTGAGTGTTGGCAGGATTTACGATTTTTGAGGGCGCAACAGTTAGCATGATTCGCGGAGTTGGGGTCCCAGGAATTTCGTTCTGGCACGATTCAGGATCGTCAAGACGCAACAGTCAGGCTCATCCATGGCGTTGTAAAACCGAGACTACTGTTTTGGCATGCTTCAGGGTCTTCAAAGGGGTGTCTTCCAACGAGGCAGGTCCCCCTGTGGAAATGAATCGTTGTAGGGCCTATGAAGAGGGAGCTTGGGGGGAGGGCTGATTCCAACATCGTTGGTGACCCTTGGGTTTACTCTGGTCCTCCTCCTCCTCCTCATCCACCTCCTCCTTCTCCTCCTCCTCTTCCTCATCCTCCTCCTCCTCCTCCCCTCCTCCTCCCCCTCCCCCTCCTCCCTCTCCTCCTCCTCCTCCTCCTCCTCCTCCTGCTCCTCCTCCTCCCCCTCCTCCTCCTCCTCCTACTCCTCCTCGCAGAGCGGAACGCCATGCAGACAAGACCTCCGTGGGTAAAGGCACCGTGGGTGAAGCAGTCCCCGCAACAATCCTCGCAGGAAAAGCTCAGAAAGAAGTCTTCATACGTTCTTTGTCCGATTGGGAACTCATGTTGGCTGTGGAGAAATCGTATCCAGAGGGATCCGACTTGCAAATGTGGGTTGCCATGGGAGAGTGAAGTTCAGACAGCTCCGCCCGCGGCTGCGGTGCTTCGCCCTCGGCTTCCAACACCGCCGAGGGCTGCGGCGGGAAGTCTCATTCATCGGATTCCAGGAAGGGCCCAGTCAAGCAGCTGGTGCAGAAGGAGCCAAAGTCGAGGAAGGTTTCAAGGCCATTGGAGTCCAGCTCGGACTCAGCTAAGCAGACTGAGCAGAAGAAGCTCAAGAAATCGCAGTATGACGACACTGCCTCGGATTCTCCTGTCAAGCCAAAGTCATTGGAGGAGATCAAGCAGGGCCTAAACGATTTCCGCATCCAGTCCCTGAGCAAGCAACTCGACCAGGCCAAGGAGGAGATCCGCACGATGAAACAGGACAATCGTTCCCGTGAGGTTCGCAGCCAAGCATCCCCCGTGGCGAGAAGAGCAGCAACGGTAAGACTAACACGCCAGCTTCCGAGTCCAGCAGTGACAGTGAGAGTGATAATTCTTCTCAAGCGTCTCCAGCTTCGAAGTCATAAACTCTTCCCTGATAGGGAAGTCGCGCAGTGTGGGAGGACCCGCACCATTTTCAGGCGCAAGGAACGAACACCCATGAAAGTTCGCATGGCCGATGTGCACGTCATCTTGAGAACGTAATTCAATGTGTTCGGGTTCCGAGGGGAAGAGGGAGACCCCCTTCCAGATCCTCGCACTTTTCGCGCTAGCACCCGCACTCATCTTTCAATGGCTACGGCAATCACTTCTTCGGTAGAATCCGCATGATACACCACGCCTATATTCGTCGTATCCCTTTGGAGCGGAAGTGGAAGGTCCCCTTCCAGAACCTCGACGATCAATTTGATAATGGTGTTGATGGGGCTAGGAGCCGCAGTTGCAGTGCCAGTTCGGGAAGTGGGAGATCCCCTTCCAGATCCTCGCATTGTTCGCGGTAGCACCCGCACTCACCTATCAATGGCTACGGCAGTCTCTTCTTCGATAGAATCCGCATAATACAACACACTTGGTTCGTCATATCCCTTTGGAGGGGAAGTGGGAGGTCCACTTCCAGATCCGCGACTCGCAATCTGATAGAGGTGTGACGAGACAGTGAAGCCGCAGCTGCAGTGTCAATTAGGAAGTGGGAGATCTCTTCCATATCTTCCAGTAGCTTCCAACACTCAGCAGCGTTCTGTAGCAACTGGTGAGAAAACGTGGAACAATGCGAGTTACTTGCAGCAAAGGCGGTCTGGCGCCAGGCTGGCGCAGCAGACATTCTTGGGAAGGATGGGGGAAGGTATCATTTTGGGTGGGGAGCTCTTCATCGATCATATCCTGGTTTCCTGCTCTGGCAGGCAACGGTGTCTGGGCTAATGCGTCGGGGAAGGTTAGGAAACGGCCTGACAGACGCCCCAGTATGTCCAGGGCCCAGTCGAAGAACTGGCTCGTTCATACCAACCCTGAGAACCAGGGTAGCCTCATCCTCTTCATCTTCCTTTTCTCTCATTCGTATCTCCCCTCCTTCCCTCCTCCCTCCAGACAATTCAAGGAATGGGCAGCCAGGTCGCAGGCGAAAGCATGTGGCCTTCCCTGGCGGGTCTTGCCATGGTCTCACCATGCCCGAAAGTCCAAACCTGCAAGTTGGCGTTCAGGGATTGTTCGTGTCTGGGGAAAAAATGGTGGGTGGGTTGGGAAACTCCTCCCCGGTCTGGGGAAGGTCTGCGTCGATCCGGCTGGCCTGGGCACGGCTCATTAGTAAGTGGGCAGCGTTTAACCCGGGCTAGCGTGGTTCAGAACGTCTTCCCTCTCCCCCTCTCCTCCTCCTGGGGTAGGGTTCGGTGGAGCCGAATCGGAACTGGCAGCGCCCCAGGCAATGCCTGTGGGGTCAGCTGCTGTCCGAGGAACGCGCCTGTGCTTTAGTTCATCCCCGAAGCGAATGTCAAAAAATGTCCCCTCCTCCTCCCCCTCCCCCTTCTCCCTCTCCTCCTCCGCCTCCTCCTCATCCTCCTCCTCCTGCTCCTCCTGCTCCCCTCCTCCTCCTCCTCCTCCTCCTCCTCCTCCTCCTCCTCCTCCTCCTCCTCCTCCTCCTCCTCCTCCTCCTCTCCTCTCCTCCCTCCTCCTCCTCCTCCTCCTCCTCTCCTCCTCCTCCTCCTCCTCCTCCTCCTCCTCCCCCACCCCCTTTGCCTCCTCCTCCTCCTCCTCCTCCTCCTCCTCCTCCTCCTCCTCCTCCTCCTCCTCCTCCTCCTCTAGGACCCACATCCAAAATGGAGTCCCAGTAGACCTGTCGGAACACGCGCCACGTCGCCGATGCAGTGCACTGGCGACGACGGTGCACTGCATCGGCACCGTCCGCGCACTGGAGAAAGCTGGGCTCCACATCAAGTTGCAGCGCCGATGTGTCGGCGATGCGGCGCGATCCACCGACCCCCTCGGCTCCGATCCCACGTGAGCGGACTGGAAATCTGAAGTGACCGGCCCCCCCCCCCCCGAATCGCCCATGCTCGGCACGTCCTCCACGCAGTCAAAGATCGGAGCAGGACGAGTTGAAACAACGGCAGCTCAAACCTGGACCGCTCCTAGGGTCCAAACGGACAAGTGTCCGAGCTGCGCCCAGCCGAAGCGACGAGGCGAGCCCCCGAAGGCAAACAACCGTTGGGCAGGAAGTGCAGCGCTCCTCGGCCTCGCGGTCGACCTCCGTCGGCGACGGCTTCCACCAGGAGAACATCAGTCTGCCAGCCCTGCCCTCAGGCCGGAGCTGGATCGAAACACGAAATCGGATCGAGTCGAAAACGGATGGGAACCCCAGCGAACCGTTCCGAAAATCGGACCGCCGCGACGGGCTCCGGCTGGCCCCAGCCGCTGCTGGGGAAACCACAAAGTGCCGATACCGCTACTCCCCTGCAGGCCCAGGAGGCCCAAGAAGGGGCAAAACGAGGGGAGGCAGGTGAATCGAACCGAATCGACTCGAATCTGAACCGCAGCCCCATGTGGCGCATCGGATCGGATCGCAGGCGGCCCTGGCTGGATTCACACGGCACCGCGATCCGTGCTGCGAGCAGCGCATGGCGCGGTCGTCGTCGACGACGTCGTCGTCGCCGCCGCCGGCGACATCATCGTCGTCGTCGCCGCCGCCGTTGTCGTCGGCGTTGCCGCCGTTGTCGCCGTCGTCGCCGCCGCCGTCGCCGTCGCCGTCGTCGTCGTCGTCGTCGCCGTCGGGGCTTCCCAGCGCAGGCCACGATGCGCGACGCGCGGCCATCTCGGCGCCCACTGCTGGCGGCCGCATCGGAGCGGTGCGCCAGCCCTGCCCCCCGCTCCCGAAAGCCGCAGAGAAGCCTGCCTAGGCTGTGGGTGTTGCCGACTGCACGACGGAAGAAGGATGAGCCTATATATATATATATATATATATATATATATATATATATGTGTGTATACACACACCTGTGCATATACAGATGTAAATATACACAGAAGATAAACAGGTACACTGCGTGAGAGAAAACAGCAATATTCATACCAGGTAAAATGTAGGCAGTCATATGTAGATGTGTATATACATACATAAATACAT